TTTAAATACGTTACTTAATAAGACAATTCAGGCGCTCTAGGAAAATTTTTTACTACATTTAAGATACTGACAACTTGGGCCTAAGTGGCAAAACATTATAATAATATCAAATGTAATGTATACAATGGATTTTAGTGAAGTCAAGATAATTTTACAAAGATTGTTAGACAACGTGCTAGCTATCAAATCTGTTATTCCTGGATGACAAATACTAGATGGCTAGTAAGCTATATGTAAAACCAGCAACTTTGCAAGCTTCACACTATGAGCTATGGAACATAGTCTACTAATTTGACTGTACGAACTGATTACATCTCATTGTATATTTTACACAGTATGATCACTGGGAAATAGTATAGTCTTGTAGCCATCTACTTCTCAGTAATCCTACTGAAAAATATTACTTTTAAGCAATTCCCCCTTCCCCCAAAGGTTTGTAATGATTGTAAAGTAATGATACAGTAAATAGAACTGCAACTGTGAACTGCTTCACATAATCTGTATGAAGCAGAATCTATATAAGTAGACAATTTGGTTTGTTAATTTGTTCTCAGTCCTAAATATAATAAATTATAAAGTTGTTACATTCTTAGCAAGTCTAACCTTCCACAAATTTGTGGTTCATTGGAGATAAAGCATTTTGAAGGAATTGCTGTTTATGTCTTTAAAAAAAATGTAGAAATCAACAACAAATGTATGCGACCCACATAAATTATTTATTTTAATATAATATTGTTTATTGGATACTGGAAAAATGCAGCCAAGCCTAAAATATTGTACATAACATATTTCTCATTCTGATGTGACATCAATTATTGCTAATATTTCTCTTAAAAGTTTTACAGATTTTTGTGCACAGGACACATTTAGCTACAATTCAAATGTGAAAATAGTTTTATGTATGAAAGATAAATATAATATCTCCTTCAAGTCATGGCCTGCTATAGGTAACTTCATGGATATAGAGAATATGGAATTGCCTTGCCAAAAATATTAGAGTTTGTCATTATCTTCCATTTTCCCCTTTGGTCTAGGTTATAGTTTCTGGGTTTCTGAGTGGTCTCTCTTCTCCATGTACTAATCAAATTTGACCCCAGTGCTTTTTTTCTAAAAAAAAAAAAAAAAAAAGGTGCCGGAACTCACACACATCAAACAATCCGCCTTGCCTACTCTACAAGGTTCCATCCAAAAAAGGTGCAGGAATTCCATTCTGGGCGTTCTATGAAAAAAAAAAAGCCCTGTTTGACCCTATCTAGTTTTTTTGAGATCAGCCAAGGTTGACTAGGTTCTATGATCAAAGTGTGAGAATCTACAAGAAACGTTGAATGTGTATATACTTTAATAAGAGGAGCAAGCAGTGCTGGCTTTCTGTTTGTTTTCAAAAACATTTTAAAAATCTCATTTTTTGTAAATTCTGGACTTGATGCAAACTAACAAATACTTTGTAAACTGATCTTCAAAGTACATTCCAAGAAAGTCACTATCTCTTACTTTAATCATCCAATATAAATCTATAAAACCCTGATTTACAGATCTAATATAAAGTATTTTAAAGATTTAGAAACTGTTTTGTGGATTATTATAAAGAAAAATAATGTGAATGAATCTATTCCAAATATTCATTTACATAACTGGAATATATATACTGGCATAGTCAAGGCAGAATAAGGATAAAAATATCCTGCTATAGACCTCACCTATAAATTACATATAGGCCATTTTCTATTATATGTTTTCTGAGATCATTAACAAATGCAATAAAACAAGTTGTAATACTATCAACGTTCTACGGAAAATCCACTGAAATAGGATTTCCATGAGTGTGTGTGTGTGTGTGTGTGTGTGTGTGTCTGTGTGTATAAAATTATTAACTACTTCTAAAGAATCTAAAAAAATATTTAAAACTATATGAATAATGGTTAACTGAAGTCAAGGTTGAGGAATCTTGAGTTCATATATATGCATATATGTGACAGTGATAAACTGCATTCCTAAGAAGCATAAGTTAACAATATTTACAGTAGTATTTTATCTGGTTTATTTCAGTTATAGTATATTTCTACACATCTACAACTAATACTTGAGTGCAATGAAAATATATGAGAGTATTAAAAATTCAAACTGTAATTATGGAGTGTTATATTTACTAACTATGCCACAGCATACATCAAATATAGCAATTTTCCGTGACTACCAGTATCCTAGCTTTTGACTAGCAAAGTTCTTGGACAATTGATTCTTACTATATTATTAACAGTAATTGACAGTACATAAAATAACATTACGTATGGGCATTTTATTGCTACCAATATTAGAAAGACTCTGCCTTTTTGCATAAAAGCTAGTACTTTTGCCAAGATGAAGCCTTTTCTTATCACAAACTAAATTATATTTTTCAGCAATGTAGTGCTACAAAGAGACACATCATATTTGAATCTCATTGTGAATATTAGCTTCTCTGACATTTCCTTAGTTTGATCTATATCATAGTATATAACCTACAAACACATTAGGATCCAGTAAACTATTACTACAGTTACTATATTGCAGTTTATCTATAACCATGAACAGAAAACAGAAATATTGGAATATCAACTATTTTTCACAAACTGTCATTTGAACAAAAGAGACCCTGGCCCAGAACAAATTAAAACATCTTTAAAGCTATAAATTCATAACCATTCAGGTGAAACACTCTAAGTATTTCAAAAGTAAATACAGCTATAAGAAGGACCAAAGCAATGGTCAGGAGTTAACACAGAGAAAACACCATGCCATCTTGTGTCCTTAAGTGGTTTATCATAACACCTGCACCACCCTTCACCAAATGAGACTTAGCCGTAGGCTGTATTTAAATATGCATATCAAAGCAAGCAAAAAATAAATCTTGAATAGCAAACTGGAGAAATGCTCATGTTTATCCATTTTAAGTGTAAGGTAAAAATCCACAAATAAACAAGTTTATTCTAGATTTTTGTATATGCTCATTAAAATTGTAAAATGCATTATTACTGATTATTAATAAAGTATTACACTTTATATTAATATGTATGCATGAATGTATGTGTACATTATTATTATCTGTACCTTTATCAAATGTATCCTTAGGGTGATGTTAACATACATATCTAATAAGGCACAATTCCCAAATGCACCTCAGTGATATAACTATTAATTTCCCAGTTGGTGTTCTGGTTGCACAAATTATTAGTTCCTTCAAAAAAGTATCAGGAAGCTAAAGTAAGAATAGTAGAACCCAAATGTCTAGAGCCCAATGTCCTATTATTTAAATAAGTTTTAAATAATTATAACAATGAATGTGGTAAACCCTGACAGGTTTAGAATAGGCTAACACATTTGCTTAAATTTGCTGTTTTACTATTGGAAGGGTTGGAAAAGATTATTTTCTACGAAGATGGTTATATTACAAAATGTGAGTCCCCTGAAACCTCATTTTATCACTGTAGTTGAATTTGGATATTATAAAAGAGCACTTCAAATTGGTTTGAGCACTCACCATCTGCTAAAGCCCTAAACAGTACAGTTTAGGTAATCTCCATTAATATAAAGAACAGCAAGGTCCATTTCCACACTTCCACTTAAAACAAATTTACACTAAAAATGTTCTGGGAAGATATGCAATATTTTATATATACATATTTGGCTCTTTCAGGATGCCTGCCATTTCAGGTCTAATGATCCCAAAAAGTTATGTATGCCCCAAATATTTAAACAATAAATATTTTTGAAACTATGATATTGCTTCATAGACTTTAGTAGCTATAAATGATATAACAGAACTTTGAGGGAACATTCAGTATTTCCTTGCTTATATGCTTTGATAGTAATAGTTATAAAATGTCATGAAATCTGGACCTGGAGATTTCCAAAGAAACAAAACAATTATATTTATTTAAAGATAGAAATGGTCCATAACAAATTAGTACTTTTTTCTGTTGTTAAGTATTGTCAACAAATATAAAACAAAATCAAATATTTAACTTTCTGCCAACATATTTTGAAAAGAAAAAAAATAGAAAATATTCTTTATTTTGTATCTACTTTTCATAGCAGACTAAAACTTATTATAGATTCTTGTACATAGCATAGTAATCCCTCCGTCACATGTTAGAATAATGTTCCTGCTATGCTATTTTTAGTTTATACCACTTGTTTTATGAAGTTATTTACAATGCCTATGTAAACTCTCCTCTCTACACTCTTAGAAATAAGCTATTATTCACACTTGAACACTATGTGTCTATTTATACATTTCTAAAGTAAATAAACTTATTACGTAAGTACGTAACAGGTTTCCATAAGCAGTTCTATAAAGCATAACAGCTCATGTAAAGTGCCATTCCCAGACATATTTGTGCATATTCAACAAAAACAATTCACTGAGCTACTACTAAAGTGTTAAAACCAACAGCTAATGTGTAGTTACTCAGTCATAATTATTTGCAGCTTCTAAAAGATATTGTAAATAATTGGCATCTCAAAATTATTGAAATTTATTATGAAGCTTCAGCCACTTGCCAACGTGTGCAAATTTCAGTGATATATTGCAATAGAGAGTGTTATTATTTATAACTTTGGTTCAAAATAGTACACAATTGCTAATAATTCTGCCTGGATAAAGTATGGAGGAAATCTCATTTTTAAATAACTGAATAATTTCAATTTTCTTTTTTCTTTGTTATAATATTAATAGCAAGGGTCATAAAGCAGAAAATATTGCCTATTTTTACTAGACAGTTTGTCAACTCTTCAATTTGTCAATGTTGTAAACTTTATAAGACAAAACTTAAACTTCTCAGTAATAAAATACAAAGGAATATTCTTCCACCAGAAACCTAGATTTAAACAACAGCTCTATAACAGGTAACAGAGGTAAACAATTCCAACACGTGGGTGATGGTAAGAAAATCCTTAATTAATAACAGTCCAGGAGTTTACTAAATGGGTAAGAGCCATTACAAATTTTTGAAAAGACTTACATGGTCAGCTAAATTTGTGGATGATCCTGAGAGTTCTTCATGGTCAGATTTGGAGCTGCCATCTCTTTCATCAATAACTAGGTCTATGGGCATTTTGCCTTTCAGACAGCTAATGTACCGATGGCAGAAATTATCACACAATTCATGAACCTGAATGTAACATTTAAGGAAGAGGAAAAAAAAACAGATGCATTTTTAAAAGAGAGAGAAAACAAAACTTCTAGACTGCAACTTGATCTCCCCCCCACACACACACACACAATTGCAAAAGAAGCACTGTGATCTATTCCAAGAGTAACTCTAATTAAGAGGCATATAGTTGAAGCAAGGAAACAATAGAGAAATTGTTACAGCACATATTATTCCCCAGAGACTTGCTTGAGCAACAAGTTGGGGAATGCACAGCTATTAAATGTTAGCCTATTCTATAGATAGAAGAAAATCCGATTTAAGGATATTACCAGAAGCACTGAGATCTGGATAAATAAAACATAAAAACATAGGCAGTTCAGTCAAGAAAAATGAAGGAAAGGATGTGGGGAGAGAACAATATATATATTTTGAAATCTCTCGATAAGGGGAGAACTTTAGTATAAAATAATTTTCTTGTACAATTTAGCCTTTTCATGTGATCCATAAGATGTTGACAACAGGGGGGGTCTATAATCATGCTAAATGATAAGTTGCTTAAAATACTATCGCTGGCTCAAATAATTTGCAAGAAGGAACCAAGAAAGAGAAGGAGAGGACATAGCAGATACTTGAATGGAGATAGGAAAGAATGGAGAAGTTGGGAGGGTGAGTGGGGGAGAGAGAAAGGTTTAAGGAAAAAAAGAAAAAGAGCCATGCACTTTTGGTTTAGTGTCAGGATGTGTTTTGTACCAGTTACAGTGTCCTTTTGAATTTCCCCAAGGGTTGTAGGAGGCCAGGAGTAGAAAAAGGAAAAGGAAAAGAGGGAGTGCCCCCTTGCTCTTACCTTTTCTAATTCCAAAAGGTGAAACCTTAAGACTTGTATCGCTTGTATCATCTGAAAGAAAACAGGGAGCAGAGGAATTGTCATATAAGAGAGAGAAGAGGCAAGTCAAGGAGTGGGGGATTGTCAGGGCACGCTCTCATTATCCAGGATTTTAGCTCTTTGGACACGCTTGGGCAATTTTGATCATCAACTTTAACCTAAAGCACTTGATTTTTTTTTTTAAAAAAAAACATCAAATCACACAAGCACACACACACACACATACTTAAAGAAAAACAGTGATAAGTGGTTTGCCAAGATGTCATCCCCTGTGGTTTTTTAAAGTCTGCAAACCAACCAAGTGCTAAACATCCACTCACCACTCCATCCGTTTTTTTTTAAATAAAGAAAAAACAAAGAAAGCAAGGTGGAATGGCTTCAAATGAATGATCTGCCTTCAGCTCTTTTTTTCAAGTGGATTCCCAGTACTTTTAATAGTAAAATTGGACAAATTAGCAAAAGAATCACAGTCAACAACTTCAAACTCTTTGCTGAAGCCAAGATTTCCTTTTCTTTTGCTTCTCAGGGTTTAAACCCAGCTCAAGTATCTCTTGTCCTCCCCTTTCTATGTCAAGAGTTTGAGTTCCTTGAAGCCCCTGGGTAAGAATAATTTCTTTTTCTTTCAGATTCTTGGCACCTCTACAAACATTTCTCCAAGTCCCTCTTCGTATTAATTATTTTATTTTAACCAAGGCTAAGCACAAGTGGGGTCTCCCAGAGCATGAGAGGTCAAAACAAAAAACAGACAGGAAGAACCTTACCAAATTATCCAATTCTGGATTTGAAGAAAAAAGTGGTTTTTCTGCCCGAACCTACATGGGAGGGAGGAGGGGGGGGAAAGAGTGAGTAGGAATCAGTGTATATTTCAGCTACCTTAAATACCTTCCTATTTGTTGAGCCTGTGACCCCACCCCACCTCACAGTCTAATTGTAACAGATCAAAACATGAATTAGTGGCAAGTTCTTTGCAAGGCCAAAGAGACAGTTGAAAACTTAGGCCACTCAGGACCACCACCATTCTTCCTGTCCCACACAAGCTTCCTTCTCCCCCAGGTCGCAATTTCAACTGAGGGCTGAGAAATGGGCCTAACACCTCTTGAATGCATCTCCTTCTCCCCCTCTCCCCACCCCCACCCCCGGATCCCCTTTAACAATGCCCCCTTCCTGTGAGCCTAAGGGAATCCTAGAAGGTCTCCCAGCAGATCTTTCTTGCCGACAGAAGGGAAGAGGAAAAGGGGGATGATAGAGAGGTGGCTGAGCAGAAGGGAAAGGCACCCAGACCCAGCTTGCCCGGAACATTTCCCCTCAGACACTCCAAAGCTCCCTCAGAGCAAGCGCCGCCCTCCCCTTCCTTTCCCCAAGGCCTGAGGAGCAGCAGGCCTCATCGCGCGGGCCCCGGGGGTGCCTTCTGAAGGAAGGGGGGGGGGTCTTTGGCGTGAGGTGTCGCGCGCTCAAAGAGGGGGGGGCAGGGTGTGCGGGGAAGGGGCGGGGAAAAGCTGAGAGGGAAAAAAGAGTTCGACCTGTTTGGCGAAGACGGCGATGTCCTCGTTGAAGGAGTCGGAGGAGCAGACGTCTCCGCCGGCCACCCCAGGCTCTCGGGGAGTGCAGGTGGCGAGCTCGCACTTTTCAAAGACCAGAGCTAACAGAGGGAACAACGGGTGCCTGCCGGGCGACGACACACAAAGAAAAGGAGGGGAGAACGACATTAAGAGAAAAAACGAGAAAAGGGGGGAGAACAGAGAAACCTAATCAACAAGTTTCTTTCCCCGGTCAAAAATAAAAAAAGAAACATAACGTAGCTTACACGCGCAAGTTTACTTGCCTCAGCCTTCCCATAACTAAAGGAAGGGACATCACCGAGTCAAACGTAAAAAGTAACACAACGCATGCAGACGTCTCCCCACAAAAATCCTGGGCCAAAACCGAACTCCACAAAACCCATGTGCGCCAACAAACACAATTACCCAGCCCCAGATTCCGCTGTGAGAGTCCCGCAGTTTTTAACCTAGCAAGGAAACGAGCAGATCCCTCGTCCCCAAGCCACGACAGTACCAAACGCGGGAAGAGTTGATTTTTTTACCCAAACTATGAAGTCGTTTCCTATTTTGATGAGAAGTAACAAGAGCCACGCTATCTGGGAAGGAAAGGAGAGGAGAAAGAAGGGGATCCCGGGGCGTCCAGATTAAATATCGACTGCCCCGCCATAAAAGAGAAGAGGGCTGAATAAATTCCCCTCCATTATCCGGCCAGATACTGCCTGGGGATCAGGGTCTAGCTAGGTGGTACGCGCGTTAAAACAGTAAATCCTTTTCCTAAACCTTTCCTCCTAGTATTAGTTGTTTAGTCGCAAGGGCTGTTTTTGCATGCTTTAAAGAAGGAAAGAAAAATGTCACCTAAATAAAACTTTGCTGAGGAGAATACATTTCCCACAATCTTCCCATGCCGTCACCCCGGCTTTGTTTTCAAGGTCTAACCCACATTTTATTTGGATTAATTCTGCATTTACAGAGCAACGTCTAAATAAATAAACAGCACAATCCCCGCTGATTTCAGTAAAATTTGCATGGGTGTAAATGAGTCTGAGGAAACCAGGCTTTCTTTTCATTTCTGAGAGAGAAAAAATGCTTTAAAAAAGCTCTTTAAGTAACTGTCTTAAAGATTGGGCTGTCCGAAGAATGGAGCAGCTTATAGCCACACAGCTTTCACTAAAATCCAGCGCGTCAAAATACACGCCCGTCAATCCCTGCATCCTCCGTGGAATTTCTAGCTGAAGTTTCCCATATATTTGTGCCATTTTTAACTTTATAGACCTAGAATGTTTTTATTACCTACAGAAATGCCGAAAGAGAATATTGATCTATCGTGACAAATTACACGTGCCCTCTAGATTTCAGGAAGAAAACCCGAGGAGGATTTTAGGAAGGGGGGGGGGGTTGTTTAAAAAGCACTACAGTTTCTCTCCAAAAACTGTCGTGCCTGCCTGCCTCCCTCCTTGTGCAGGACGGCTATTCCTCTACCCTCTTTCCTGAAAGAGACGGTCTCTCCGGCCTTTCGCACATACATACACACACCGAAATACACATATGCTGCAAGGAAAGGGCCACAGCGCCTGGCTTGCCTTGCTTTGTACCTACCCATAGATTGCATCCTTGTCCCGCTTCAAGGCGTCATTGACAGCCGATCCCATGCTGGCCGGCATGACATTGGGGTGCGGGGCATGGGCTCCATAATGCTGGCTGGCATGCAGTGGCGGCCCGTGGTTCAAATGGTGTACTGGGGGGATCGGCCTGGGGGCGTGAGGGTCTCCATACATGGAAGCAGGTACCCCTACTCCGTCCATCCCGCCGTAATGAGGCAGCTCATCGTACTGTCAAAAAGAAAATGGGCCAGAAAAAGGAAAGAAATAGAACCAGAAGAAGAGAGAGAGAGAGAGAGAGGAAAGCGAGAAAGAGAAAAGGGGTGAAAGGGGGGGGGGAGAAATAAACAAAAACAAAACAAAAACAACAGAAGTCAGAAGAGAGTAAAGCACCCAGGCAAGTCAGACAAAACAGAGCAAAACTACAAACCAAGACCAGCCACAACAGAGAGAAAAGCGATACAAACTGAAATCAAAATAAAAAGTGCAGTCGACAGAGCCTGGGGGGGGAAGGGCAAGGGAAGAAGGGGGCAAGGAATGTGTGTGTGTGTGTGTGTTTGTGAGCCGGTTGTGGGGAAAGCTGCTTCGAGGGCAAAACACGGGAAGGGGAAGTGTGAAAGGGAAGAAGGAGGAAACCGTTTACGAATTAGAGGAGACGGGGCCACAGATAAACTAACACCCCCGCCGGTAACCAGATTAATGCGACGGAGTAGGAAGGGTAAGCAAGGCTGAGAAGGGAAAGAAGGGCGCGAGAGAAAGGGAGCAAATAATCTGAAAGTTACCAGAAACATTATTTAGTCGCGATTCCCCCTTGTCCTTGTCAAAATCAGAGACAAACCAAGCAGCAAATGTAGCTGTATTTCCCAGGCAGCGGCAGCAACAGCCACAGCAGCAGAAGCGGCGGCGGCGGCGGCAGCAGCAGCAGCAGCAGACAAACCTTCCCCCCTGTAAACCGCGCGCCACTGAGCAGTTAGAGAGGAGCAGGGAAATCGCGCTGTTGGGGGAAAAGCTACAGAGGAAAGAAGCGTGGAACAATTGCACACGCACGCACACACACACACACACACACACACAGGGAGACACACACACACACACACACACACGCAGAGAGAGGGAAAGAAAGAGAGACATAGAGGCACACGCACACACAAAACTGGTGAATAATTTTTGCTGCTATTTGTTTTGTTTCTCTAAATAGTGGCCGCCATGAGCAGCAGCAACAGGGAAGAGCAAATCCGACAGGCCCCTCTTAAGAAAGGATTTATACGTAAGGTAAGTGTTGGAGATTTAAACCTACCCTTTGCGCCATCAGTCTGCGCTCCAATAAACTCCGGGATGTGTCCTATATTTAATATCCCAGTCCAGTAACACCACCAAACAAAGTGACTGAAGAAGAAGGAAAGGAAGAAGAAAAATCCCTTTTCCCTTGTTTCTCCGACCCACTTATAGAGTTCTCCAATAAGCGTAAATATTCATAAAGACAATCGTTCTAACAATAAAAAAAGTAGGGAAAAATAAACCACGTAGAGTTTGTCTGTTTTCCCCGCGTGCTCTTCTTTATTTCCCTTTTTCTGTGCCTTTCCTTTTTTTTTTTCTTCTTTTACGTGAAAAAAAAATATGATGGTATTTTTTTTAAAAAAAATAAACATAAAAGTCGTCAAGCCCCAACACTGAAGGTTACGATCGGCCCGTCAGCAACCCACATGTAACCAAACTGTCGTGTCTCATGGCTTTTTGCCACTCCAGCTGTCAATCAAAGCCATGGAATGTCAAGGTAGTGAATGAATGATGGCTGATGATGATGAAGAAGAAGAAGAAGAAGAAGAAAAGAGGAATCTTTTAACCTCGGATTCTTTCTCAGTAAAGTCCGCGTTTGGGGTTTGCTTGTAGGAAAGCTATAGGTTCTTTTTTCTTTAAAAAAAAAAATAAAAAAAATAACTACCGGGAGGGGGAGGGTGGGGTAGGATGCGAAGAAAAATGGGATAGTTTGCAAAACGTGGACTTCCTCCGTTCTTTTTGTGTGCGTGTGTATGTGCGTGCTTGTGTGAGTGTGTGTGTGTGTGTGTGTGTGCGCGCGCGCGTTGCTTTCCCCCCCCCCTCCCGGTAGGTATTTTGCCTCTTCACCTCTCCCTCTGAGATGAGTGAGTGTCAGTAAGTGTTGGCAGGTTGGCTGCTGGCTGGCTTATAGAAGAGGCTCAGTTTTGCGGCGCTGATCGGCGGGAGAATGAAATGACGGAACCCGGAAGTAGTGGTGGCCATAGCCAGTCCTACAAGAGAGACACACATACGAGGGAGAGGGGAGAAGAGAGCGCGGGCGAAAACGGGCGAGCCCAGCTCGCGCTCGCAGCCTGCGATATGCAGAGTGTGCAATCAGGGCTGTTTCCACGCCACCCGGGGTGGGGAGGCGGGGGGGGGGCCGCCGCGATGCACCACCTTCAGAAATCTCAACCAAGCCTTTCCAGATAGACGCGGAAAAGTGGAAGGATACAGAGGGAGCCTCGGGAGGAGGAGGAAGAAGAAAACGAAGGAGAAAGAAGCAGGAGAGGGAGAGCAAAGAGAGAGAGAGGGGGGGGGGAAAGAGAGATGGGCTGCCGGGGGCGTGCGTGGGAATTGCAAACAGCCCGAAGGGGGGGGGGAAAGTATCCTAGAAGCCTAGATCTGTTGCTTTTTTTTTTTTTTTAAATGGAGATTTTTTTTATTTTTTTTTTTTTTTTTTACCCTTCGAGATCCTCGTTTGCCTGGCCGCGCTGCTTAGCCATCTCTTCGCCCGGCGTTGTTTCTCTCTTCTTCGGAGGGTAAACTCACAGCCCTGCGCGGGTTCAGCGTCCAGGAGACGAGCCGAAGGAACTCGGGCAAGTGGCGAATGTTTGGAAAGAGGTGCGGGCAAACTTGCGTCGCCCGCGGAAACTCCTAGCCTGCCTTAACAAAGTCCGCCATCCTTGTCAGTCGAGGGCATTCAAAGAGCTGCCTGCGCCGCGCGTTTCCTCCTCTGTGTAAACTCGCTACCTTTCGCAGTTGGTGTTCCTCAGGATAATTTTCCCGGAGGAGAGCACTCCAAGCTTGGCACCTTTTACTCTGTGCTCGGTTCCCTCATCGCCGCCGTACGAGGCGGGGGTCTTCGCAGAGGACTGAGGGGGGTGAGGGGGGTTGGGGGAGAAAGGAAAAGTTAACCTTTTAGGCTGGGTTTAGGCGCTGCTTGGGCGTTACAAAGCGAAGGCAACAATTCCCCCCTTTTTCTCTTTTATTCCAAATTGTAATATATACATTTTAATGCCCTTTCGATCATTGGGACTAACCCCTCCTCCTGGTGCCTTCCTGAGCTTGCTTTGCTTGCTCTTTTGTAGAATTCGTATTCCTGAACTGGGAGAGGGGGGGTGTTTATTAATATTCTCTGTTCAAAACAACGTAAAGTCACAGCTATTATTATAAGTACCACTACACTCGCTGCAGCGGTTCTTCTGCAGAACTAGTGCGACGGTGCCCTCTGGTTCCTAAGACCAAGTGAACTTTTGAAAACACACCCAGCAGACTTTCGCGGCCCGTCTCTCCCACTTCCCCCCCCTCTCTCCCACAGGCTCTCTCACAAGCTCTACCTACCGCGTTAATTTTGGTGAGGGGTGTGTGTGTTCGAGTGCGTGTGCGTGTGTGTGTGTGTGTGTGCAGCCTCCTCCAATCACTTTGCTGGAACTGAAGCATGCCTTACCTCAGAGCAGTCAATTACTAAAGCTACCCGAGATCATCAATCATGGGGGAATGCTTCAAGTTAAGGGGGAGGAGCAATGGTCAAACTATTGATGGCTGCAGTTTTGCACTCTCCCTCCCTCCCTCCTGCTCTCTCTCTCTCTCTTTCTCTCTCTCTCCCCTCACATAAAATCTAAACCAGACTATCCTGGTAATAGTGGGATTTATCAATGATTATGAATCTACTTGTGAATGTTACGGCCTCGCACATACGTGCCGCGGCGGCGAGGGCAGCCACGCATTTAGACTGGATTCCGGCGAGGAAAAAAAGAGAGTGTAGGAGAGGGACAGGACAGGAGGGGACAGAGACCGTTCTTAAGGGCAGGTCACGGGTGTGGGGGGGTGTGTGGGTGTGTGTGGGGGGAAGTTAAGGAGGAAAAAGCCAAATCTGCCGAAGGGACGGGAGAGAGAGAGGGAGGGAGGACTCTTAAAAACGCAGCCAGTCTTTCCTGGGCTAGGGAGCCAGCTCCGGAGGTCAACGCAGCTCTCCAAAAGGATGAATGATTGAGTACCTGCGATGATGATAGTGATTACCGGAGCAATTAAACAGTTTGATTAAATGAGCCATCAGAACCATGCTGTCTGCGGGATATCAGCCCTCGCTTATAAAGAAAGATAGAGCAGAGAGAGAGAGAGAGAGAGAGAGAGAGAGAGACAGAGAGAGAGAGAGAGAGATAGAACAGAGAGACAGAGTGAGAGAGAGAGAAAGAAAGAGAGAGAGAGAGAGAGAGAGAGGGAGGCTGAGGAAAGCCGCCGGGGCAACGGCTCCGCTTCCCGGGAGCGCTTAGCCTGGCAAGCGTCTCAGCTTGAGCTCAGCCCCCCGAACGGGCAGGCGAAAGAGCTGGAAAAGAACTGCCGAGACTTTTAAGCCTGACCTGCGCGCTCGTTTGAAGCGCCGAAGGGTGGGGTGTGTGTGTGGGTGTGGGTGTGGGTGTGTGTGTGTGTGTGGGTGGGTGGGGAGAGAGAGAGAGAGAGAGTGGGGGGGTGTCTGCTTTTGCTTCTCCCTTCGCCGCTTCTCCCTTCCCCACTTTTCTTTTCTTCTTAGAAGACCCCTTCCAAGATTAAAGCGATTCTCCGGAGCAGCCGCTCGCCCTCTGTGGCCGATTCGCCCGGCTCTGGGCAGAAAGGTGAGTAAAAACCGCCCTCAGTGCGTCCGCTTTCTTTTCAAGCTGCGTTTAAACCGGTTCCTTTTTGGGGAGGGGGAAAAAAAAAAGGACTTATTCGGGGGCGAAGGGGGTGGGTGGGTCGTCCTACCGTATTTTCTTCTCTGTCGTAGAAATCGGTAACGCGCTTGGAGACATTCTTGGTAATGAATACTTGGCTAATCCTTTGGGTGCCCGGAGACCTATAGAGCAGTGGGGTATGCAAATCCTTTCCTACTTTTGCAGCTGAACCTTTCTAAGGGGTTGCTTTAAAAAGAGATCTACTTCGGTCAGGAACGGACTTTCTGAGGTCTCTCTCTCTCTCCCTCTCCCCCCCCTCTCCTCGCCTCGCCTGTTTCCGAAATTGCCACTTTCCTAAATTCCTCGGGAATCGCATTGTTGCAATGCCGTCAACCCACTTCCTCATTAAGGACACAGTTTTTAAAAACTGTTTTCTATTAAAAACAGAAGGGAAAAAAAAAACACCATACCCGACCAGGGCTATATTTACCTCAGTTTAGATCGGTTTAGCTAGAAATGGGAACGGTTTTGCCGCCAGTCCCCCCCCCCTTTTTTTTAAAATGCAGCTCCATGAACAATTTTCCTCTATTAAGGCTGAATGTATTGAGTTCAGTAAATGGATATTATTGCAAAAAGATCTTGTATGCTAGAAACCTTTAAAAAAAAAATCTAAAAAGTTATCGGGAAGAGATATTTGCAGGTTCCAGTAAAGCTGCTTTCATTTCAGCTTCTCCCCTCCTTAAATGAATCGTTGCTGTTATATTTCAATTCTTTTAAAATAGCAGGATATATATTTTTAGTTTCCTGGGAGATTTGAAGTTACCCTGAAGAATGTTAAAACAAAGAGGAAACAACAACAACAACAAAAAGATTACAAAGTCTTTCATTCTTTCCTGTGACAAATCTAAAACAAAACAAAAAAGGATTTCTTTCATGCTTTTTTATGAACAATCTAAAAAAAATATTTCCATCACATGTTTGTTAAAAATCTTCAGGTAGGTATCTGAGAACCAGCCATATAAGTAATTGTTTTTGGAATTCTGAATCAAACTTTAAAAGGGGAGAAAATAGTTACATTTGGAGGAGGTTGTGGCAGGATGGATATAATATTTGTCTTGAAGCTGTGAATTCTTACTGCATTTCAAAGCAAGTTTCTTCAGAAATCAGGCCTTCAATTTTCAGAGAGACTTTCTCCTGGAACTGCAGCTATAATAAATTTTTAAGATAACTGATCTTGTTGCAAAATGCAAACATATTTTTTTAAATCCCAAGTAATGTCCGTCATCATCATCACCATCATCAAATCATCAAATTAGAAATCCTGTGTAGAAATGTATCCCTGTCAACAGTCAGTTCTTTCCCCAGCACCAAAACCCAGTTTGCCTTTCTTTCTTTCTTTCTTTCTTTCTTTCTTTCTTTCTTTCTTTCTTTCTTTCTTTCTTTCTTTCTTTCTTTCTTTCTTTCTGCTGGAAATGGTTTTAACAGGCGGTAAAATTTCATCTTGTGGTGTCAAATTGGGGTCAGTTTGGGGTGAGGGTTCTCAGTGTCCGGGAAGGAGCTGTCCAACTGTGTTGGGATTCATTAAGGGCAAAAGATCCATTTCAAGAAAAACAATACAGAGACAGTCAGTGGGCTAAAGATCCTTTCCAATTTGCTTTTTTT